GAAGAGTTATCAATAATAATTAAATTAATAATAGATTACTTAAGGACATTGTTAGTAATTTTTAAGAAGAGAATGGAATATATAAGACAAAGATAACCCTACAATTTATATATATTATTTCATGGATAGTCAATTCTACATACTATGAAAATTATTAGATATTGTTTAGAAGTACATTCATCTTTTTCTTGCTATAGTAAGATATTTTTATTCTTTGTAACATTTTTCTAAGTCCTTTAACAATCCTTGAAACATGATCTTTATATACTGCTTCTTTTTCTTTCTCCATTTCACACAAAGAAGATTTTCTTTGAAAAGCTTCTTCAATAGCTTGCATTTTGGTGTAATTAACATCTTCAATTGCAAAATCATGAGATTTCTTTAGTTCTAAGATAGCATGTTTTGCAGTAGATTGTTCCGCTTCTTCCATAGTTGAAAAATGATAGCCATTGTAAATTAATTTTATAGCAATATAGTCCTCTTCTTAGATTAGTTGAATGCTGGAGGCATAATTCCCATCATCACTTAGATTTGTTTGATATTGTGGCTGACCTAAATTCAATCAAATAGATATCCTCTCTAGTAGTTCCTTGAAATTAATTCTTTCCACAAACCTAGGATTTTCCATGCTACAAAATAGTTGTCAAAAGAAAATGTTGAATTGTAATGTATAAATAATATAATTGAAAAAAAATGAAATAAGTATCACATACCCAGTATCAAATGTAATATACCTTTTTGAAATTATTGGTTGACTCAAATTCCTTCATCAAAAGTTTGCATGGAGAATGGGGAAGGGTGGAGCCTAAAGAGAAATCATGTAAATATATCTCTTTAATTAGATTATTATTATAGGATAGATTAGGAATAGTGACTCTTTATTTTTAATCATCATCATTACTATGGTATTAAATTGTTTTTATATAGTCTATTTAAATTAATTGAAAAAAAAAACGTATCTTTTTAAATAAAGAATGAAAATGCTCATAATGATATAATAATTGTAATCGTTATGGTATTATAATTGCACATGTAGTTCTATTTTTTAAATAATTTTTCAATAAATTTTAAGTAAAGCTTTCTAATTATTTTTTGTCTTCTCATATTCTTGTCTTCCATTTTTTATCTTTATATTCTCAATCATTTTATAATTATTAGATATA